GGGGGGGGGGGGAGAAATAGTGTGAATAAATAAAAACAAAAATCTCTGAATACACCAAATCCACATTTCATTCAACCCTGAAACTCATCTGCTACTCACCAGTCTTGCTATTGTTCACTAAATGGTGAGACAAATATCTAATAAAAGTTAGCCCACTTTGATGCTAGTGAAGTCATAGGCCCATCTACAGATCGTCATTCTCATGATTATCCTCTCACTGGGGTAACATTCCTCTCAAATCATAAATAGATTCCATACCCTTGTCCCAGTGGCCAGAAATGTCAACATGGTCCAAAAAGAGGCATTAGACAAACAAGAAACAAGCATATACGTATGCCATGCCATGCAACCTGGTAGAAGTACAAAATCATATTTCCTACTCTGTACCAGCCCTCTCCATTCTACTGTTTCTCCTGCTTTGCCCACCCCACATTCCTCCCCTTCTACCCCTTCCCCTACTTCCTTTACTTTGCCCTTTGCAGTTGTTGTCCAAGGCACTCATAATCCCGCCAGCAGCTGGATTCACTTTCCCAACTTCCACATTTCATTTTGTTTGGATCCAGCACTGTGTTCAGGTGCATGAGTCACCCTTATCCCTTTTACAGTTGTTATCATTATTTATATTATTACTTATAATTATTTTTTCTATTCACTCTATTCCTTTGTTATCTTATGAGTCTTACTTAATAAATATGTACATAATGTGTCTGTTAGTTTTGTACCAGTTTTCACATCATTCATATGACCTATTCTGACCCCTGGGTAGCTACTTCCTTCCCCCCAGTAAGAGGTGTGTCAGAAATCCATCAAATTTTTGGAGGACCATACTCCTGCATCTTCAGGATTAAAGAGATCAAGTCAAGCAAGCAGCATGCAGGGATGAAGGCAGTAAGTTCTTCTCAAACATCAGTAAAATTCCATCAGACTAAATGGCATCAAACTGCTGAAGACAGTATTCTTAAAACTGATTGCTGTAAGCACCTCAAATCCAAAATGTATACTTCTCCATCCTTAGTGGATAAATGAAGGAAAACTTGGAGAGTGTTTTCATGTACCTGTAATACTCACCATGGTGAAGATCAAAATCAATGTAGAGGATGCGACTGAACTTCTCTCTCAGCTTGTGAATAGCAAGCACTACATCATTGATGTAGCAGAATCCCTCAGCCCCATCTCTGAACAAAGAAGACTGCAAGTTACAAGCTACACTTACCACTCTACCACTGCACTACCACAGCTTAATGTAAATGTTTCAGTAACTGCTGTCTCACATATTTCTGAGGATATGTCATGCCTTGAGCAGTCAATGCTATGCAACAAAAGCTCTATATATTCAATGTGAACTCTTGTATGATAATTTTGTTTTCCATTGTATGCTCATAATACATCTAGTAGTGTTCTGATTATGATGTAATAGCACTATCTGAATATGATGCATCATCTCAGATGTTTTAGACACAGTGTATCCATGCCAAAAGAGTGGCCTGGGACAGACCTGTAGCCAGATATAGCAGCAACAACAGTGGCCACATTTCAGTTACTAGCAGAGGTCAGGTGATGGCACAAACATATAAACAGTAACACAACTTTCCTTTAATGCATTCAGATTGTACAGCCCCTGTAGNATGATGGCACAAACATATAAACAGTGACAGTTCTGATGGTATCACCACCTGACAAAACATGACAATCTTTTAAACTGGCATGTTTTGTCCTTTTCTATAACACAACTTTCCTTTAATGCATTCAGATTGTACAGCCCCTGTAGCCTCAGTTTTTTCACAAAATAATGATAATTGATGGAACTTAAAATTAATTTTCTGGTAGTTCAGCACCCTCTAGTGTATCTCTATGGCATGTAGATTAGGGTGTGACTGATTATGACCTTACTGGCTGTGTACATAAGTATGCAGGGAGATTATATGAAAGCCACATTCCTTGAGTCAATTTAACAATGAGAATTCAGACTTGCTGCATATTTGACAGGTCAATAGCCAAAACAAGTTAAAATTTCTGTCTAATACTGGCCCAATAAATCAGTGATAAGTTACCATGACATGAACTCGTATATGTCAAGCACCTCTTGACTGCAATCTCAAGCCCCTGCTACTGTATTAAACGCATCAGGCTTGTCAACTGCGGTGCAGATCTTAACAACACACAGGAAAATCTGATGCAAGAAGGGTGCATCTTTTCCATTCGACCACCCGAATGATTTGTGGCAGGTTCTCACACAATGACCAACAGCACCAAAATGCAATGATATGGTTCTGGGCAGTAAAACATGACTACATATTTGTATATTCTAAATTATACTTCCTGGCATCAATATGTTAAACTGTAACACATTTCCAGCTACCAGTAATGCATTACTATGCTTTAAATGTTCAATTAAATGGCAAAGCTTAAGCAATAGCCAGGACATGGACATCATGAGTATCAGCTGCTGTTGTTTCGACTCATTAATTTAAAACTGTCCCTATGTCTAAGCATACGGCATGATAATCTATGGCAGAGCACAAGTGTAACTTCAGCAGTAGATGAAAGTAAGTGGTCAGCTCCAAGCTATGGCTGCTTTGATCCCCAGAAAGATTCCACAGTACCTATCCATTAGTGGGGAGACAACATGAGGCCAGAGCCCACATGTATAAATGCAGATATTTAAAGTATTTCATACAAGTGTGAATTATAATGTAACATTTATTTTCTCAACAAGTCACACCATATATGAACATGATGCCTGGTTGATATCGCTGGCCAGCTATGTGATTTCTGCTCACCTCTGTGCATGGTGCCAACCCCCATTCCAGTTGATAGCTACTCTTGCCAATCCATTTACAAGGACTTGTGCAGCAGTTAGTGAAGCTCCTGCTATTGCCTGAACAAATCTGTAGATGCCTTCAATCAGCGGACAGTCATATTCTGCAAGAACAGGTTCCATAAATATTCATTCTTTGCTCGGAGTGCGAGGTGCCTAGCCCTTCTTATCCCCACAGGTTTTGATGAATGTACAATTTGAAGCTTTCATGGTGAATAAATGTACTAAAATGTTCCTGGCCACTTACCTGCATCAATGTACAGTTAAAACCCAATAGGCAGAAAAATAGGATAAGGAACTTGTTGCATAACAAAACTTTCCAAATGCCAAAAAAATGGACACCTCAAAAGCTGAACATGATGCACTAAGATTCCATGAGATAACAACGACATATTAGTCAGTCTAGCAGATACAGGCTATGCCTCAGTTGTAATGACTGGCACATATTACAAACGGAAAATAGACAAACGCTTAAGTGATCACAACTACAAGATATCAACAACAGATACAACTACAACAGTGGAAAGGAAGGCAACCAGGAAGAACAAGAAATCAGGAATTGCAGATGAAGTGGCAAAAACACTGATTCGAGGCAATACTGTGTCAGCAAGAATATATAATAGATGAATAAAAATATACAATCAAAATATACCATTGCAACACACTGCAGATGCAATCAGTTCCCCAACATATCTGTCGGTAAAAAGCCTGGCAGGACTACTGACACCAATGACAGGGCACACTGCTCATCACAAGAAAAATTCAGCACGTTTCATACAGAAATTACAAACTACAAGTGTAAAAGATCCAGACATCTTGATCAGTTCTGATATAACATCACTTTTTACCAGAGCACCACCCAAAGAGACTTTATACTTGCCAGAGTATTACACTTATTCACATGGACATCAATACCCACACACTTTCTCTTTAACAGAAAATTCTATAGCCGGAAGGCTGCTGTAGCGATGGGGTTCTCACTTCTGCTGATTGTGGCAATTATTTCATGGAAGGTTTTGAACAGCACACAGTGAACACAGCCCCCAAACGACCATTTTCATGGTATAGGTATGTGGATGACCAATTTCTAATCTGGCCAATTGGAACTGATGAATTACAAAAGTTTTAACACCACCTTAAGAACATACATACAAACATCAAGTACACAATGCAAATAGAAACAAATGGCTCACTAACATTTCTGGATGTTCTGATAGCCAAAATATCAGGCAGGTCACTGGGATATTCAATATACAGAAGTCCACCCATACAGACCTCTACCTCCATTCAAAGTCATACCATCATCCATCACAAAAACATGCAGCGCTGCCTATATTCATTAACTGTGCCGAGACAATATGACAAAGAATGTTTGAATGATGAAATCCAACATTTCAGAAGGACATTCAGACAGAATGGGCACAACACTACAGGCACTAGACAACACTCCCCCAAAAAGGAGGAAAAACTGCATTGGTATAGATGTTTCTATCTTCACATTATCAGACAGAAGGAGGGCATCCAAGAGATACTGAAATGAACCATACCAAGTATTCGATTAAACCTCCTTTCAATTTCTCCATGAATGCCAGATGAAGTTTCTCCTATTTTGAAACAATTTATTGGCTCTCCTTATATTACGGTTCTGTCCTGTACTGATACCACCTCTGTGGTATAGTGGTCAGAGTTCATGGCTACAGATCCAGAGGTCCAGGTTCGATTCCCAGCGCTACCAGATTTTCTGAGAAGCAGTCTGTCTGGAATGGGATCCACTCAGCCTCGTGAGGATAACTGAGGAGCTACTTCAAGGAAATAGCGGCTTCGGTCTAGAAAACCGAAATTAACGGCCATGGGGATTCGTTGCGCTGACCATGTGACACCCTCTATCCGCTAAAGTTGGCACTAACTTCGCCAATAAGCAGCGGTTGCTACGTCCTTATAGTTTGCTTGCAGACTAAAACCACGGAGTTTGTTTGTTTGTTTGTTTTGTCCAGTATTGATTCTCGACCTCAGTTAGAGTATGCAGACATGATATCCAAAAACACTGACTTTAGAATAAATCAGTTAATAATTAAATAAACACATACCTAATCCGAATTCCAGTTGATCATCTTCATGCTTTTCCAAATCACTGCTTTGATCAACCTTCTGCAGGAACTCTATATAGTTCCTTGAATGGAAGGATAGTAAACTGTCCTCAGAAGCAGGTCTATGAGGTATGAGTTGCATGTGTGACACTAAGTCATAGGCTCTAATGAGATTATGTACCAGCTTGGCCTAGATAATGAACAAAAGTTATTACACAGATGGATACAGATCTTCCTATTATATGCATTCGTTCATTCATTTCCTTTATTTTCCATATATCCATACAGGTAACAAACCTAGGATGTGGAAATAGTACCTTTGAAAATAGATAAACCAAGATAAATATACAAAATTACATGAGTCACATAATTAAAATCACTTACATCAATCGATTAACATAAATAATATAAAGTAAAAAATGAATAAAATTTTAATTAATAAACATAATTTAAAAATAACTTAGTATAAAACTTGAATTAATACAATTTTATTTAAATTACCTATATTAACTGAATTAAATACATTACAAATTTACACACTTATGACCAATTATATTGATAATATTCATTCATGGAATAAAAAGAATGATATAAAACCTCTTCAATGCAGATTTAAAACTTCTCTCATTAGTAGCCAACATTTTTATTGTTTGAGGAAGATAATTAAAAACCTTAATACCTGATATGTATGCACCTTTATTGTATTTTGTTAGATTATAAATGATGAACTTAATTATATAATTCTGTTTGAAATTTCATCATATCCATTTGAATTTTTAGTCTTTAATGATTTAATAATGTCATACTTGCATACCCATTTTCTTAATGGTTTTCTAGATATGAATCTTAATTCAGTTGCAGAAGAGGAAACAATTAGTATAATTAACAAATTAAAATCGAAAAACTCTTCAGGTTATGATGGCATAGCTAATAAAATATTAAAACTGTGCAGACAACAAATCAGTAAATCTCTAATTTATGTAATTAATAAGTCACTAACCATGGGTCTGTATCCAGAAAGATTAAAATATGCAGTTATTAAGCCAGTATACAAAAAAGGGGAAAGTAACTACAGGCCAATATCTATAGTACATGGGTTTGCAAAAGTTTTTGAAACAGCAATTTTTAGAAGACTCAATGATCATATCGTAAAACATAAAATATTACTTTCAGAGCAGTATGGATTCCAAAAGGGATCAACCAAAGATATATACAAATTAACCAGTGTAATACTTACAGCCTGGAACAGAAAAGAGTATGTAACTGGTATATTTTGTGACATAGCCAAGGCCTTTGACTGCATTAATCATGATCTGCTATTAATGAAACTGCAGTACTATGGAGTGCAGTGTGTATTATTGCAATGGTTTCAATCTTACCTCCAATATAGGAGGCAAAGAGTGGAATTAAATTATATAAATAATAAATATTATTCCAACTGGGAAATTGTTGGATGTGGTGTGCCTCAGGGATCGGTGTTGGGACCCTTACTCTTTAATATATACATAAATGATTTCCCCCTCAAAATAAGTAAAATTTCTGACGTTCTTATGTTTGCAGATGGCACTAGTATTCTTTGCACAGCTAAAGACTACTATAATTTAATAAAATTGGATGTTGTTTTTAATCACATGTTTACCTGGTTTCAAAATAATCAATTTGTGTTAAATCTGGATAAAAGAAAAATGATAAAATTCACCCCAACAACAACCACGAGCATATACATTGTTTTTTAACAAAATGCTGAAAGAAGTAGAAATGGTAAAATTTCTCGGTTTGCAGCTGGATAATCATCTGACTTGTAAGGGACATATTTTTTGCTTCATTAGTTGAGCTCAATTGGTTTTCTAATGCGAAAATGATCTTATATATTAAAAATAAACAGTCTTAAAGCTGTATATTATGCATATTATCATTCATTGGTGAAATATGGAATAATATATTGGGGAAATACATCAGACAGTCATAAGGGCTTTGTTATACAAAAAAAATAATAAGAATAATGATGGGAGTGGGCCAAACTCATACATGTAGAGATCTATTTAAAAAGCTTGACATACTGCCAATCCCATGTGTATATTTGCTCTCACTGATGATATTTGTTGCTAATAATGTGGATAAGTTTCAGACCAATAACTCTGTATATATGATTGATACCAGAAGGAAGGACCACTTTCATATATCTTCAACACATTTATCATCCTATCAGAGAGGGGTGTATTCTTCAGGCATCAAGCTATTTAACACTCTGCCATCAAATATCTGTTTTAAAAAATGATAAAAACCAATTTAGGTTTGTTTTACAAAATTATTTGCAAAATAACTCATTTTACTCTATTGACAAATTTGTCGAGCATGCAAGGGGCTCAAAAGTTAAGCGTTAATAAACGGTCTGTGTGCCTGTATTAAACGTTGTTAAGACTTGCTTGTTGTGAGTGTGGTAATATCTATGACGTCTGTGATTGTTATGAATTTTAATATGTTATAATGAAATTGTACTGTTGATATGGCTAGCCAGTGTGTGTGGAATGGCAAGGTGTGAATTTGACAGTGGTTTTTCCATGGCCTAGGTGTATTGTCTTGACAACTTTTGCTGTCTGCGTGAGGCCTGATTATATATTTTATTGGACCAAGGACGTATGATGTGTAGTCACCATTAATTTGTAATGTGTGACATGTTTTATATCTAGCCCCATGGGGAGATGATTGGATCCATGAAGTGAAAATAAATGTAAATGTAAGACATTCTCGAGCTCAAAATGTGATCAAAAAACCATACAGGAACACCACGAGTCAAGTTTTGGTGTTCAAATGATTTTGAAATTTCAGGGAGGTACAGATCATAAAATAAATCACCAAACACTCATATTAAAAGTAAACAAACAGCGTGCAATCTTACAAAACAAAAAATCAAGGAGGTATGGCAATCATTNACTGGCATTATTAACAACATATAACACTAGGCTTGCTTTGATAAATCTTCTCTGAAATTTACCATTACATTATATAGATCTCTTCCGAATATCTTCTGTCCACATATAAGCATGAGAAGTGAGTTTTATTTACAAGCACGATACAAATAATAAGTCACTACGACTTACCCTTCCACGAATGTTGGGGATTTTATCACTCTCTTTAAAAAGCTGAAGGTCGCATATATAGAAAACTCTCTGAGATAATAAATTTGCATTTTTCATCTCCTGGCTCCTGTCCATGTATTCCGTATTAATATATGTTACCAAACCAGAATGATGAATATAACCTCACTTCGAAGACTGTTGTGGTTGAAACAACGCGCCTTTCGAATGATTACCGGCAAAAAGAAATGTCCCCCAAACTATAGCATATGAACTATTTCCATGTTAGGTTTTTCAGCATCCAGTCTTGATAGTAAACACGCAGGCACATTTCAGAACATAATTTTGGTGTTCTTTTAAAAATACGAAATCAAGATTTGGTTACACGTAAACACGTAAGTTTTCTACCACTTAACTAACTCTTCCATCATCCACAGTTCTTTCTACCGCGTCCACGGTGTGTAAACAATCTGCATGCCTGCCTGCTTAGCAATCCATGATATTAGCAAAGATAACTAATGACTATTTAAAATACTTCGACTCCTCGCTTTATTAAAGAAATAATAAAACATCAAATTCTAAAACTCGTGTGGCGGATTAACAATGTAACATAAAATACAATACTTCTAAAAACATATAATTCAGTTGTACTAATCTAAAATTTACATACGTCACTTCTTATTGACAATGTGATATAATTAGATTCTAAACTTCTGACGATGATGTATAGAACTCAGAATTACTGGTTTTTTTTTTTTTTTTACTTTTTCCATTGGCCGATACTCTAGACACTACAAATCACGACGTTTCGAAAACTGGATCTGTTTCCGTCCTCATGTGAGGAGGGAAGACACTTTCTGAGCTGGGTCCCTTTGAGCTCACGGCGAGCCTTTCAGACGCTTACTGCGTACTCCACTACAGTATAAATAGCAGTAGGGACGGCTGTCAGCACCTACAAATACTGACAATGGATTTACAAATACAGACTGACAGACCCGACCTCTCGTCAGGGAGGGCGCCCGTATGGAAAGGACAGCAACTTTCATATAAGAAATAAATATCTGGAGCTCGACACCAAGACAGACAGACTGACAGTCAGTCGCAATGTGACTTTGACTTTGACTTGTCAGCACTTACTACGACCAAGAATTTGACACAAGACAACGAAGAAATTCTTCATCCCTTGGTCACTTTTGACTTTCTACATTTCCCCTTCTAACTGATTCCATTTCCGTAAAGCTTTTCGTTTCTTTCCTTCCATTCAGATCCTGTCGCCATTTCCAATTTTTCTTGTATCTATATATTC